ACTCTTTCCACCACCTATTTTGCAATGCGGAAGTACCAAAATGAGATCGCCATCGGCAAATTTTTGCTTTCCAAAAAACTTCGAAAAGCACTGGATGTGTTGTTCTTCTTCTTCTGTTCGAAATAACAAAACGAAAGCGACATGAAAGATGAGCTAAAAGAATGCTGTTGTCTGGGCCATGTGTTTGTGCTGTTGCGGTCTTCTCTACTTAAGATGAACAGTCTACTGGGCTTTCGATGAGACCGAATACGAAGCTGAGCCGTAGCATGTGGGGGAAAAGACTGGTGGGTAGAAGCCGACAAAGCAACACCTTGGGAACATGCATGTCTTTACGTATTTATGGAGTTGTCGCAATTCTTATGAACGGCTCCTCACGCTAGCGGGTGTAAATACCTGTCTTTTCCTCCACAGTATCTTCTCTTTCTCATCGCACACTTGGGTGTTGTGCATTCTTTAAAATCATCGGACTGAACCGCATGTCTGTGCCTCTGTCGTTCTTTTTAAAACATCCCGCATTACGTCACATGTCTTTGCCTCGCTTTTCCGCCTCCAAAGTACCTTGTTCGCTTCTTCCACTAGTCTTGTCAGAAAAGCTTCGAGTGCGCGCGCATGTGAGAATTACCCAAAAGACGAGGACAAAGAGAACATGTTCTGGCCGAAAGAAAAGATCAACTCCCGACAAAGTAGCAGACACATGCGGCTGTAGTCTACTCTTGGGGTCAGACATATGAAATCTCACGTCAACATTGACCTTCTCTCCTTCTCTACAGTAACGATTTACGGATTACTTCTAAAACGCGAACGCCGGCTTCGATGGACTGCTCGTCTGCTTCTCCAAATATTCACGAAATGCTTGCATGAGACCGAGTCTTTCCCACCAAAACACCGCAACCTTGACTTCATGATTTACTTCTCTTATGGGCTGCACAAAAAGATTAAGTAAGCCGGGTACATGACTTGGCCCTCTCGAACAAAACCTTAGAGCGGTTGATACATGCGCCGACAGAACGCTGAGGAAGTCAGCTAGCCGCTGTCAAAATCTTTGGATGTATGCTTTCCATGGCCGCCAGGAAAACTCGGCATCCATTATATGGCTCTGTGCAGCTATAAAGTATTTCCATTCCTGGGATTGAGTCCGTCCCTCTTCAGTATCACTGTCCCTTTCTTTCCTCCAAAAAAGAATACCTGGTGTTTGATGAGATTCCTTCGCTGGAAATGCGACAAACGATGTACGATGGCGCCCGCTGGCCTTATGACTTCAAACTTAGATTATACCTCCCTATGACCTGAAAATGTCTGAGCTCCTTGATTTGATCAAACTTAGCAATCTCCGGGACAAAGCTCCTGTTCCTAGGTGTCCAAAAATAAGGATAGAGTAACTGCACATTTGCGGTTGTCCAACGTCTGCGGGAATATCGCTATAAAATCTTCTTTCGGCTGTAAAGAAGATGGCATCGAGAGCTACTTCCAACTCTCAAATACCAAATGTACTAGACCTCCCTCCCATGGATTCGTTCTGTTGATCATGTTCGGCTGTTGTTTGAATAAAAGGACTCGAATCACGTTCTGATGACTCTTTTCCCAAAGATGGTCAGGAATCGTACCATGTGTTCGAGAAACTGAAATCGTAGATGTTTGATGAAGTTTGTCACGCACATGTGAGCCGCAAATTGAGTACTCAAAAGCCAGATACCTGATTATCATGTGTGTCCGAAAACGTTGCTCAGATGTTGTAGGACAAATGTCCTACGAACGCTAGAACGAGGAAGTACATAAAGCCAGACGTGTTTTGCTGCGAATAGACTCAACCAACATACACGTCCTTCATTTCACCAAAAGTCATCGCTCTAGAATTCATGTGTTCGAGGTTCCGCGTCCTGCGTACGATAATGTCAAAAAGACCTCCAGCCGCATCTCATGTCGCTAGAAGCCCAGGATCGTAACCATACGACTTGCCGCCCTATAAAAAGGCATCAAGCCTCCTTCAAACCTCAAAACCAGTACATCCCCTCCGTCTCCCCACCCTCCTTCCCAACCTTCAACTCCTCCAAACACTTCTTCAACCTTTGCGCAGTCGCCTTTCCATACGCCTCATGCTCATTGAAATCCGGCATCTCATCCTTTCTTGTGATATCGGTGCGCACCCAAACCATCTTCTCATCTCCGCAAGAAGCTTTAATCTGCGCAAACATCTCGTCGTTGAAGCCACCTCCAAGAGCTACAGCAGCGGGCCGCTGGCCGTAGTTCATGGAGCCGATGTTGGGGGTGGGGTTGGCTGGTGTTCTGGATAAGATGATGTGAGGGATGGAGATGATTGCTTCTTCGACGGAGAGGTTGATGTGGATTACTGGATCAATGTGTTAGTTGGTTACGTATGCGTGAAGTGTTGTGCAAAGTATCCCGGCATACCATCGTATTCTGGTTCCACGCCTTTGCGAACAGCCTTTGCGATGTTTGGGTTCCTGCCACAGACTACGATTGGGATGGCTGACATTGCGGACGTGTAGAATCTGGGACGCAGTAGGTGGAATGATGAGTTTTGTGCGGTGCTGATGGAAGTCGATCGAAATATAGGTTGATATACTCGTCTGACGATCATGTGGTGCTAACTAGATTATGGAGAAACGGCGTCTAGATGCAGGTGTGTGCTGACGTGGGCCTGGCTTCGTGTTGTAATGCTCCGGGGCTATGGTGTTTAGTTAAATCCGACCTCGGGACGCTAGCACGAGATGGTCTCCAGCTTATGGCGGAGGTGATGCTGTGAAACATCTATCATCTTCGACACCGTTCCCATCGACATGCGCATCGCTCAATCGTCTCCAACATGTACCCGATGTGCGAAGACGCAGGCCGAAGATGGTGACGTTCCCGAGGTCTGATCACTGCCCAGGTGGCTGTGCGTCCTTCGGCACGTTCCCCCCGATGTCGTCACCAGCGGGGGCCCAAAGCATCGTGAACGTTACTATGAGTTGAACTTTTAAGGTCGCGTCATTCGGTTTCAATCGTTGCTTAACGAAGCGAGTAGCCGACTGTAGGATTAGATGAGTACTAGCCTCCGACATCACCCTGGTCGCCACAACTGTGCCGCAACCCACCCCGCGCTTGATATCGCACGTGACTGCAATTGCCAGCCCACTATCGCATAGGTGGAATGTATGCAAAATCATAGGAAGACAGTCGCTTCTTCCCAACTGTACGCTCTTACGATTTCTTGTATGGGCATGAATACGCCTACTTTCATCCTTAATCATGGACCTTGTCAGGTCTCGAGAGAGCATCAATATAATGGCTACAGAAGAGCGACCCGAAAACAGTCTTCCCATATCAGACTCAAGATACGTCCTTGAAGGAGAAGAAGACGATGGTTTATGCGAAGGATGCCACGTACTATCGAAAGAGCAGAAGCCTCCAATGCATGAGACCTATCAGTACCACGCCTTGCACAGGCCACAAGATACCATCAGGCTCCTCGCATGGCCCGCAAACCCCGAAGATGTAGCCTACTTGCCTGAAGCTTCGATCGCAGACCTTCCCCTGTACGAAACGGTTTCTTACGCTTGGGGCTATGGAACTGGATGGCCACTCGAACTGAACAAGGATATCGGCACGGCCACGAATAGCACTATTCATCCTCCTTCCAACGTCGATAAGTCGACCTTACACGTGAGCGTCACAGTTAGTCACATACTTCATTTTCTCCGGCCTGCATCACGCTGGCGCTTACTCTGGATCGACGCAATATGCATCAATCAAAGCGACAACGCAGAGAAGTCTCTCCAGATACCTATAATGGATCAAATCTATGCAAAGGCGGAGAGGGTCTTGATCTGGTGCCCACCATGTAGGATTCATCTTGCCAAAAATGTTGAGACGGCAATCGATAAGCTCAACGGCTGGAGAGGTCGTGAGGCCGAGATTCTCGAAGCTCTCAACAACGGATCATTCGGTGATGCAGCCTCGGAGGATCGACAGGATTGGCTACCATGGAAATTGCCGCCCACCCGTGAGTTCCACATTTCAAAGGCATGCATCGATGCTCTCACCTGCGTAATGCGCTTGCCCTGGTTTGAGCGTGTCTGGACTCTGCAAGAGTTGATCTTGGCTCGAGAGGCAGTGATATATTTTGGCCCCATTACGCTTAGATGGGAAGAACTTATCAGCGCGTGTCTCCGAGCGCATGCCTGCGATTTCCTGGTTGAATGCAGAAGACTCGCGGAGATTGACGTCTTGCGTAACCTTTACATGGAGTCTGGTTCGGTCGATAAGACAACATGTGGGAGGGAGCTCACATATCATAAAACGCTGTAAGTCCTCTTCTGTACAGTCTGTGTGATGAATCTGCTTCAACAATGATGCGAACGTGCTGACTGCTCGTAGGGCAAACATCCTGCGCATCATTCGCCCCCGCAAAGCCACGAACTCGCGCGATAAGGTCTATGGGATCATGGGTTTATTGAGCCGACACAATATAGCCAGCCCAGGTCTCATAGTGGATTACAGCCTTCCCGTTCTAGGTGTGTACCTCTCTGCCTGCGTTGCATGCACGGAAGTCCAAGGCGTCCATGCAAACATCACATTCCTCCAAGACGCTGGCTCAGTGGCGACAACCAACCAGAAGAGGCCACATGCTCGGGTCACCACAGAAGAAGGATATTGGCCGTCTTGGATCCCAGACTGGACAGAGGCGTTACCAAGATCATCGGGTCTACTGATGGGATGCCTGCAAGCCAACGGCTCTTCAGTCTCGAAAGGGAGGGCGTCAAACGCGAACATTCTCGCCCAACACGAGCACATCGGCCGGGTGGGAAAAGGTCCTTGCTTACAGGTTCAGGGAGTACGCGTTTTGACAATCCAAGGCTTTGTCCCCCGTCGTAGGAATGACTCGTTCAGCGACTACTACGACCTTCTGGGCAAGTCACATTCCTTGTACTGCAATACATCGTTGTCTACCCAGCATGCGTATTCGTATGTCGCGACCGCGCATATACATCCCCGGCAAGATGATCAAGTACTACCTCAAGGCACTAGCGTCTGGTCGTATATCAAAGGTGATATAACTCCTCCGGAGTGTGATTTGGGGCAAGACAATGCTGAGATCAAGTCTACAATGGGAAACGGTACGACAGGCGAACCACTCTCTCGTAGGATGCATGGCAGAATCGGACTCGACATTCCAGAATCTCTCAACCAAAGACTAGAACAGGTCGGGTGTCGCGCCAAAGAAGGAGAGGGAAGTCCGAACTTCAAGTGTTTCGTGAGCACGACTGGCTTCATGGGCCTCGTATATCCTGACGCACAGCCCGGAGACGGCATCGTCATCTTGTTTGGACTAGAGATGCCCTTTGTAGTCCGACCAGATGCTGAACACGGGCATTATCAGCTCATCGGCGAATGTTTTGTCCTAGGTCTAATGGAGGATGAAGCCATGGAAGGACTAGAGGATTCGCAGGTGGAAGACATTTACCTGTGTTGAACAAAGGATTGCCGCGTTATAAGTGAAGGTTATTTAGGAGGCGTTCGCGCCGAAAGAAACGCTCTAGCAACGCGCTGCGTATCTTTTGTAGTAGGATCATGAAGCGACCTGTCCTGTTTTCGTTTGTCCCTGCGACGTGTAGTGTCCAAATGTATGTGTGTCTTGCCCCACCATGCTCACACGCGGCGCAAAAAGGTTGCCACAGCCCTCAACCACGCACAACGCCGCGCCAGTTCTCGACGCCCTCGCTACGGGCAAAAAAGAAGACACTGTCAGCTTGCCAAAAAGGCAAAAAGAAACGTTCAGGGCCGAACCGGAGTCGAACCGGTGACTTCGGGAAGACGGTTTTTGGTCAACTGCAGTCCTACACTCTACCACTGAGTTACCGGCCCGTGAGTTGTTTCGATGAATAAGTTAGAAATTCATGGCAATATATTGTTATGCGCTGTGGGTCGATGTAGACGTGGAAGGAAGACCAAGGGACGAAGTGGAGATCGAGACGAAGCGGGTGAGGCAGTAGCGAAGGAGGGGCAGTGGGACTAGCGCTGAGTGACGGTGATAGGCTACTGGGCCCAAACTGCGCGCTACATACGCTCCCGTCTAAACGTAATCACTGTGCCTGAATACGCTGAGCATACTGTTCGAGAGGGGAGTCAAACGCATTACCTTGTGAGAAACGCGTATATATGTGGGTATCATTTCGCGCATCGCACCATCTTGCCGGTGCAAACTATCTAAAACTCCAACTCCTCAACTTCCATCCCGCACTCTTCACACCTCTTCTTCGTCATGCCCGTTTCCGGGTCAAGCACACTCCTGCCCCATTCATGCTCATGTCTATCATACCTGCCCTTTATCTTCTGCCCAAACTGCGCATCGCCGTTATCGCCTGCTAACCGCGCTCGCTTATACGCTTCCACCCTCGTCCTCTTCTTCAGATCCTCAAGCTTGTTCTTGAATTTCTTCTGTTTGCGCTCCTTACTCACGACCTGTCGCTTCGCATACTCCTCATCCAACGCCTCTGCCGAACCCCATTTCTGGGGGCTGAAGGCATAGGCTTCGACTTGCAGACGCAGGAAGAGTTGCATGGGGTGGAAGAACTGTTTGTGTGGGTTCGGTCGTTCGAGATGAGGGAGGAGTTCTTCGTCTTTGAGTTCGGGGTCGGTAAGGAGGTAGTCGTCTCGCGCTTCGGTTTTCGTGAGGAGGGAGTACTTATCTGGGAGTTTCTCCCTGCAGATACTGCATACGCCGATTCCGAAGACGTCCTGCCACTTCCAGTCGATCTCCAGACTATTGCATTCTCGACATTTGCCCTTGACGTCGCGCTTGCCGTCGCCGTATTTGCCTTTGAATGTACCGCTTTCGATCTCGGCGTTCTCAGCAGCCTCGAGCAGTGCGGCTTCCTCGTCTTCTTCTTCCTTGCCATTGACGGTGTCCAAGATTGAGATACCCGGCTCGTAAGGTCCGGCTCGGTTGGCGCGGAGCTTCCGTCTTATGCGCTCCCTCTCCCACTCTACCATTGATACGCCCTCTGGCTTTTGTTCCTCGTTCTGTTGCCCTTTCCGCATAGCCTTATTATGTGGGTCATCGACGGTACTCAAGAAACCACCCTTCGTGTCTGTCATTTTACTGAAGTCGTAGTCGATGAAGTCTGATCTCGCGTACTTCTTCGCCGGCTGAATGTAGTCGTTCGAGGGTGGCTGTATAAAGCCATTTTGATCGCGTTTCTGAGGAGATGCTGCAGCCGCATTGCGAAGGGTCGCTGGGGTTTGCGCGGCGGTGATGGACGAATATGCGCGCTTGGTGCCCGCGACCGGCGCTGGTGAAGGTTTCGATGCTTGTGTCTGTTGTGCAGCCGCCTTTGCCCTCAGACGAGCCTCTTCCATGCGCCTGATCTGCTCTGGAGTGGGCGGATTCGGCGGGAGCTTGCCCGCTGAGCGAGTCGCTCGTGGCGGCGTTGATGGTCGTCCGGACATGTCGAGATGATGGGAGGGTTCAGAGGTAGTTGTGGTACGCTCGCCCGTACTCGATGGAATCAGTCAAGAGTTGCCGGACAGGAGGGCTAGAAGCGCGCAAGTGGCGAGTGTCATCGGGGTTAGAGCGATGCGGAACCGGGACCCTTGTTCCTGAGCAATGATGTACGCCAAGAAATCTCACGATCTGTACCTTCCGATGCGCGTCTCAAATCACTATCCACATGCTAATCAAGTCTGCAAAATCGTTTCCAGTCTACCATGATGACATATCTGTCACATCCGGAAAAGGGCGGTTTGCCATGCTGCGCCCTTACCAATCCCCTATGACTTTTACGTGTGGCTGTGAGCGGCACAATTCACAGCGGCTGTCATGACGAACCATGGCACTCTTCACAGAGTGGACCAGCACACAGTGCTGCTTAGTTTAATGACCGAACATCCCGCATAATGCTCCTGCCATCATCTCTCAACTCACCATTTCCTCTAGTATCATGTCAGACGCGAGCACACGTGCGCACGTGGCGAGCCCTTCGGCGGCCTCGCTAATCCCTACCGCCGATCCCCAAGAAAATGTCCAAACCTCAGCACCGGAGGATAGCGAGTACAGCAGCGACGAGCCCACAACCGCAGCCGCAAGACGAAGGAAGCGAAAACTGCTTCGCAAAGAAGAGCGTAAACAAGAGAAGCAAAGACACGACTCCGCCCTCCCTACGCCCACACATTCCGACACCGAGACACCAACAAACCAACCCCGCAACCCTCCGAACAAGTCACCAAAGCAAAGTAGCAAGCCTGCCACCGAAACCTCCGACTTGACTGTATCCATACCACAGTCGCCCTCAATGGCGAAACCCGCCGCGCAAACCGCATACCCCCTCCTCATAGCCTCCATCGGCAACCCCGGCGCAACCTACGCCAACACGCTCCACTCCGCCGGCCACATTGTCACATCCGCTCTCGCAGAAGCAAAACGCTATGGTCCTTTTCAAAAGGGCATGTCAGGCCTGATTTCAAAACCTCCAGCCACACACATGGCATTCGGCTTGACCGGATATCGGAGAGTAGCTACAGACAAAGACGCAATGGACGACTGGACATTTTGGCAATCTACATCGTTGATGAACATCAGCGGTGGCTCGGTTAAAAAGGCGTATAGTGAGTGGTTGCGTGGTGTACGGCAGGCTACTGGGAGTGCGACGTTAGAAGGGAGGTTGGTTGTTGTGCATGATGAGCTTGAGTCTGCGCTGGGGAAAGTTACGATTCGAGACGGTGCCGCGAGCGCGAAAGGGCACAATGGTATTAAGAGCTGTCAGGGAAGTCTGGGAGGCGTAAAGTGGTGGAGAGTGGGCGTTGGCATAGGGAGGCCCGAGAGCAGGGATCCGAATGTGGTAAGCAAGTATGTGCTTGGGAAGATGACATCGTATCAGCGAGCGCAGTTGGAGAAGACCACTATACCGGTGTATAAAGTGTTGGAGGATATTGCTTCAGGTAAGAAGTAAGATCTTTGCACAGGGCGATGAAGCATTTCTAAGGCGTTTGGGACGATACCCTATGAGACACAGTAGAGCGCTCTGCATGAGAAGTAACAATACAATGTATGAATATTCAACTGAATGCTGTAAACGATGAAGCATGTGAAGGTATCGTGCGATAAACCAGAATCCAATGCTCAGGACAACACCATACTCCGATAACATCTGTCTTGAACATGTTGATCACCCAGACAAAAGACGCAACACCCATGCAAAACGCCAATAAAGGATCAACCAACGATCGTAGTACCGTTCTTCCTCAGCCTTTTCCTCTCTTCCAGTCTTCTTCTTGCTTGCTCTTTGCGGTCAACAGGTAACATCTGGCTTCGGTCATGCTTCACTTGCGCAGAACCTTCTGCATGGTGTGCTGTGATTTTTGAGAGGTCAAACTTGTTGTCGGTAGGTGCATGGTGGGATGCTGCATTGACTTTTGACTCGTCCGGCCTCTGTCTCTCCTCTCTTCTCGATGAAACGGAGGTTGCCTCGAGCTCTGAGACGTGTGTCGCCTTCTCAGTCGCACGTTCTCGGCGTCGTGTGGGTTCGGGCTTATGCTCGGGAACTGCGACCTTCTCGTTTGACTTGGTTGTCTCTGTCGACTTTACGTTCGATACAGATTTCGATATTCGATGTTGCTTTGGTGGTGGGTTCCACTCGGGCCGTGAGTATGGCTGACCAGTAGAGACTGGTAAAGCCATCTTGTCCATTTGCGCTATCGAACTGTTGTTAATCTCCATCCAGGGATCAAGACCCGGAGATGGTACAGGCAACGGACTGGACGGTGGGATTGCGGCAGGCGACTTTGGCGCATAATTCTCGTCAGTTGCGACTGGCCTGCGGATCTTTAGTGGCGATCTCTGCGGTTGGTCTTGATGAGGCTGTGCAAGCGCCTTCTCCAGAGTGATCTCAAACGGGCGTGCCGGTGCACGAGGTGATCTGCCTAGGATGATAGAGGCTTCACCCTCTGCTGTTCCAAGTCTGGACGGGAGCACTGGTCGGTTCAATGTGTCAGGGATCGTACCACGGCGGTGACGGCGGGGCTTAGGCGACGAGTTCTCCTTGGTAGACGAAGCCATGCTGTTATTGGGAGCGAATGACACTTCAGGATCCATATCTAAGCCACGGCTTGGCGATCGTGGGTTATCCTTGTTCGCATCTTCGTATATCTCGAATGGAGCTTTGTTCTGTTGGGGTTCAGAGGAAGGTATCGAGCCTGACGCTTCCAGGACTGTGATTCGGGCTTTCAGCGCTGCGATCTCGATACTCGACGACATGCTCTCGGCCATCGCTTGACGTAGCCTTTCCTGGAGATCCTTGTTCTGTTGTTCTAGGTCTCGCTCCCGCTGCCTGTATCGCTTGCGTTCCTGCTCGAGCTTGGTAGATAATTCTGTGGCTTCGCCGTCCTTCTTCATAGCGAACTTCTTCGCCAGCTGCTGCTTGGCAATGACCTTCTTCATCTCCTTCTCGCTCTTGTCCGCGTAGCTCTCGTATTGCTCCTTCCAGTATTTCCCAGACTCCGAACGTGGGGCACCCAAGTCTATTGTGATGTCGCTGTCGTCTCTCGCCTTCGGTTTCTGCCCCGACTTCGGCTGTGTGGTTGTCCGCGCGTCAAGGAGGGCTTCGGTGAGTCGGGTGCGCGGTCGTTTGTCACTTTCCGGGTCAAGCTTCAGTTGTGTGCCAGGTGTCCACGGGCTCGGGAACTTCCCGGGGCAGTCACTGGGTATGCCGGTCTTGCCAATGTTGCCGCGCTTGCCTTCATTGTCTACCACGTGCGACCCAAACGACACCTGCTTCCTTCCCTTGCTTGCGGTACCCGGCGTCATGAGGATGCCGCCTGGCTGTTTCGATGGAGAGATGGGCGGCCCACTCTCTTTCGGCGCGGGAAGATTAAATGCTTTTGCGTTTGCTGCATCTATCCTCGCCTTCCTCTCGCTCTTCTTAGAGGCATCTTTCGCTTCTTCGGGCGCAGGCGTTCCAAATATGGCGTGCTTGAAAGCTTTGACGGCGAACTGATGAGCAGGCGTCTCGGGAGGTTCGATGAAGGTGGACTCGTAGTCATTTTCTAAGACTATTAGTACGTCTCGAGACGCGTAGCTCAGTGCGACAAACCAGGCTGGAGATCTTCTATCACGTTTGTGATGCGCGGACCGGTGATCCACGAGAACATGGCGAAGTGTAGGTCGTCGTCGTGGGGCGAGAGAAGAGAACTAAGAGGGTTGGTGGGAGGATGGAGATCGCATGCGCCGTGTGGATATTTCCGTGTGTTTGTTTGGCGGATTGTTTACTCGCAGAAAACGAGGGCCGAAGGTGGACTGGACGCTTTCGTGCACCTCAAATAGTTCCAGATGGGTCGCAAACACCTCCAGGATAGCATGCGACAAGCTGCTAGCGCATCGTCAGGGTAAGGGAAGGTGCGGTGCTGTTTGTTGTGCTTGCTCGTCGATCTCCAGACATGAGGAAGTCGCGTCCGGCGGCTCTGCTGGCGCCTGCAGGGATGGCGCGGAAAGGAAGGGTAGCGGGGCGTCGCCAACATATCGCCCCCACCGACCGCTACTCGACGTGCGCTGGCCACGAAGTCTCTACATATCGCCATTCTCATCACTTTTCATTCACTACAAATTTTTAAGATCGAGATGTCTGCAGTGTGAAGGGCAGCGGCTACGGCTGCTAGTCTCTCCGTCAATACCCATACTATATGACGGCCTATTCAATCAACCACCAGTAGCCCACTATGGCACCGCTAAGAACACCAAAGAACAAGAAACAAACGCACAATGCATCCACGCCGGGAGACGATGACATGGGCCCAACAAGTCCGCTCGGGGAACCGCGGCCTTCGCTGGTCTCACACACCTCCGAAACCTACGAGAAGGCACAAGAAGATGAACGCGAAGTCTTGAAGGCTGTGTTCATGGACGACTATGAAGAATCAGAAGCCAAGGGAGCATGGAGCGTAAGTACAGAAACCTCACCGTCGGCGTCGCCGTTCAGGCTCTGCGCCCACACGGCCTGCAGACCTGCGACAGCGTACCCTTCAGGATGTGTTCAAGTTTTGCATCCAGATTGTGCAGAACCTGAGTATTCAAGACTGGACCTCCGCTAACTAGATCGCAGAAAACTACAGATCGCGTATTGCGCGTCAAGTTGACGTCTTTCTCTAACGAAAAGATCTCCATCACGCTATGTGCGAAGCTTACCGCTACTTACCCCAAGACCCTGCCCGAACTTTCCCTGGAGGATTGTGGCAGCCTCAGGAAAAGCACGTGGGACAGACTTTATGGCCTGCTCAAGTCTCGACCTCGTGAACTGCTAGGCGAGGTGATGATCTACGATATTGCGACGGCCATTCAAGAGATACTGGAGGACGAGATCGCTGTCCGCGAGACGGACGGTACCTACGAGAATCTGGATGCCGAGCGTGCAGTACAAGAAGCCGCTGCTGTCGAACATCTAAAGCAACAGGAAGAAGAGTTACAGAAGAAGCGTGACGAAGAGAAGGCTGAGGAGGAGCGTCTTTTGCAGCAGATGGTAGGTGACGAGATGCGCCGAAAAGACCTGTTGGCAAAGCGCAAGAAGCACCGTGTATCCGCCAATACTCCGCCTTCGTACTTTCCTAGCGCCGAGAGTAACAACTACATTTCATTCGACAGGACGATCGTTATCCAGCACGAAGACACGACCATCCAATGCAGTGGCGTTGAGAATCCGCTTCCTTTGCGTTCTGGCCCTTTGACCGAACAGCTGTTGGTAAAACCGGCCGGAAGCACAGCAACGCTTACATTAGTACTAAAACGTGCTCGGGTGGGCGGCGGAAACGCTGCTGCCGGCCCACAGCTCAAAAAGGCCGTTATGGAATTCGAAGACGAGATGGAAGAGATCAAGCGACTGCGACAAGGAGCCATCATGGCGGTGCTGGAGTTCAAAGTAGAGCATCTACCCGATTCCGGATGGGAGATTAGCATCCTCATGGATCACGCCGACAAAGGATCTTTAGGCGAGCGGCTTGCCGACGATGGACCCCTACCAGTCGCAAGAGTTCGTTCCTGGACCATCGAGCTTCTAGAGGCACTGGACTTCTACCACCGCAATGGTATAGTCCATAAACGCATTCACCCTCACAACATCCTGTTCAAGAGATCGCCCGGTGGTGGAATCACAGTATTGCTAGCCGACGCGAGCTTTCAAGGCTCTCTTTATCATCTGCGAAGCTTGTGTTGGGACGAACAGCCGATGAAAATTGTAAGGTCGTTCTACTGGATAGCGCCTGAGCTGTCTCAGGATGCGCGTCACACCCGCAAGACGGATGTATGGGATCTCGGCGTCACGTTCCTTCAGATGCTCTTCGGCCTCGATGTGCCTGAAAAGTACAATTCGCCCAAAGAACTGTCCGATATTCTTGGCTGCTCCGAACCGTTACAAGAAGTTCTGCGCAAGTTCTTCAAGCCCGACCCCAAGAAACGATCCTCAGCCTTTGACCTCATCCCATGTGAGTTCTTGCGCGACGATGTAGACGTATACGAGCGACCCTCCACACCCGTACGTTCGAGGAACTCTTCAACTTCATTAGGTCGGTATAGGCTGCGACGAGAGTCTTCCTCTGGTGTTGTTCCGTCATACTCACGATACGCGAATGACTGGGCCGAACAAGGTCGCTTGGGCAAGGGCGGGTACGGCGAAGTCGTAAAGGCCCGCAACAAAGTCGACGGTCGTCTTTATGCTATAAAGAAAATCAAGCAGAAGTCTGCTGCAGCGTTAAGCGAAGTTCTTTCCGAAGTCATGCTACTTTCGCGGCTCAACCACAGCTGTGTGGTACGTTATTACACCGCCTGGCCAGAGGCCGAAGCGGATGATTACTATGACTCGGCAACATCAGATGGCGACGAGTCTGACTGGGAATCGGACGTTTCTCCAGGCACGACTACGACTGATGGTGGCGCTCACGGAAGAAGCACTGGTGGTTTAGACTTCATTAGCTCCAGTGGATATCCCAAGATCGAATTTGGGTCTGACGCAGAATCGGAAGATGACGTCGGTGCAGTCATCTTTGGCTCCGACTCAGGTAAGCAGCCAATGACATGGAGCGTCATGTATACAACAAGCTGACTGTAGGCAGAAGATGAGGCAAGCATAGGGCCACTCTCGCCAGTCAAGAAACGCGCCATGTCCGACTCAACACCTGCAAAGCCCTCGAGGTCAATCTTGTACATTCAAATGGAGTTTTGCGAGAAGCAGACACTCCGAGATTTGATACGTACCGGACTTTATGACGATCCAGACGAGTACTGGAGATTGTTCCGACAAATTCTCGAAGGACTCGCTCACATCCATGGCCACGGTATTATCCATCGTGACCTCAAACCTGACAACGTCTTCATCGATATGGCCAAGGTGCCTAAGATCGGCGATTTTGGATTAGCCACCAGTGGCCAATATCAGAGGCCTGACACAAAGTCCTCCAATGGTACACAGGATGGTGGCGACATGACGCGGAGTGTCGGTACTGCGCTTTATGTTGCTCCTGAGCTCAGCTCGACCGTTATTGGCGACTACAACAACAAGGTGGATATGTACTCCATGGGCATCATCTTCTTCGAGATGTGCTTCCCCCTGAGAACTGCCATGGAGCGCGACAAAGTCATCCGATCGTTACGCGAGCGGAAACACGATCTTCCGCAAGAGTTCGAGACGCCGGAAAAGTCGTTGCAGGGTACCATCATCAAGTCTCTCATCAGCCATCGCCCTTCAGAGAGGCCCGGATGTACGGAGCTCCTGAGAAGCGGCAAGGTACCTGCTCAGATGGAAGACGAGGCCGTCAAAGAAGCGCTCAAGGCTCTCTCGGATCGAAACTCGCCACATTACGCAAAGATGATGGCTGCTCTTTTCTCACAAAAGCCCGATACGCAAGCAAAAGACCATGCATGGGATCTGAGCGCGACCACTCAGAAGATCAAGGCCAACGATGTGCTTCTACAGAATCTAGTGAGGGACAGGTTAGCTATGGTATTCCGGAGCCACGGCGCTGTTGAGATACAACGTCAAGTTCTACTACCCTGGTCGGACCATTATGCTGACACAAAAGTCGTCAAGCTTTTCGACCCCTCTGGAACCCTGGTCCAGCTACCTTACGATCTGACATTGCCGTACGCACGTAGCATCGGTCGAGGTGGAGCGTTCCTAGAGAAGACTTTTACGATTGGTCATGTCTACCGTGACGACTACACCGGAAGTGCTCCACGTAGTAACGGCGAGGCAGACTTCGATATACTGTCCTACGATACGCTTGACCTTACTTTGAAGGAGGCAGAGGTTCTCAAGGTCGTCGATGAAATCATTGATGAGTTCCCTTCATTTCGATCAACGCAGATGTGCTTCCACTTGAATCACGCCGATCTGTTAGACATGATCATGGAATTCTGCAGAATCAGTGTCCCAAAGCGCGCTGCAGTCAAAGCAGTCCTTAGTAAGCTGAACATCGGAAAGAACAACTGGCAGTTGATACGCAACGAATTACGGTCCTCCGACATTGGCATTCCATCAACATCGTTAGATGATCTGGCACGCTTCGATTGGCGCGACACCCCAGAAAAGGCTTTCGCGAAGCTGCGGCGACTGTTCGAGGGCACCAAGTACCTTGATCGGACTCACGTTGTCTTTGCGCACCTAACATCCGTCATCAATTACATGAAGTTGTGGGGCGTGAAGCGTAAAGTCTACATCAGTGTACTGAGTAGCTTCAATGAGAAGTTCTATTCTGGTGGCATTCTCTTCCAATGCTTGTTCGACACGAAGCAGAGGGAGGTGCTTGCTGCAGGTGGACGGTACGATAAGCTGATCGAAGAATACCGTCCAAGAGGCTCGAGTCACGCACATCCAGCGGCTGCGTATCACGCTGTTGGTGTGAACCTGGGATGGGATAGACTCGTCAACTCCATGAGTCGATATATCAAGAAGCCTGAGAAGTCAACGTTCTTGCGGAAACACGCTGAAGAAGACACGCCATCAATTTCGTGGATGCCACGACGCTGCGACTGTCTAGTGGCTAGCTTCGACCCGAACGTTCTCCGCTCTACCGGTATCAAGATGGTAGCAGACCTCATCGCCCATGGCTATACCGCCGAACTCGCCGTCGATGCGCACTCCATCGAAGACATTTTACGTCACTATCGCGAAGACAGGCATAGCTGGGTTATCGTCATCAAACACGGCGTCGCCCCCGACAAGCCGGAGCTCAAGGTCAAATCCATCGCAAAGAAAGAAGACACAGATTTGCGCAGTACCGATCTTCTGAACTACCTCCGCAACGAGCTCCGAGACCGCGAAGAACGCGAAGGAAGCGCAGCTCGCCTAATCAAAGCTCCACCACCAACTTCAAGCAACACTTCCAACGCGTCGAAAGCGAATGTCGATGTCCTTATTGCCCAGCACCGATCCAAGAAGAGCAACAAATGGTCTATCGTTGAGGCCGCGCAGTCAAGGTCGACAGATTTACTTTCCGCGTTCCAATCCGCACCAATCGCTGCTATCGAGTCAAAGGAAGAGGTCATGAACTTGCTCAAGGAGACGCGTCTCAGCGACCCGGACTCGTGGCGCTACTTTATCCAGAAGATGCCGCTTGCCGAAAGGAAATACCTACAAGAGCTGCACGACTTACTGCTGGGTTATAGAGCGAAGTGGGTAGAGAACAAGGGCGAAGGTGGAACAAATGGAGAAGGAGCTGTAGGAAAGGCTTTCGTGTATAATTTCAGGACTGGAGGGTGCTTGCTATATGATTTGGAGAGTTGAGAGACATGAATACTAAGAAGCTGCCGTCTTTTAGTACCTATCACTCAAGACGTACCCCTATGGTATACGTAGTAGCTGAATTCAAGACCAGAACCTCGACATTGGCTCTAGCATTGAAGAAAGCGCTTACTCTTCATAAGGCGAATTGAGGCTATGTTCATCACGAAGGCAGGGCATTGCACTACATTTGCGAAAACGATCTAAGTTTCCCAGCCTCGTGCGGGGTCAGGCTGAGGGGAGTACATGCAGGCGTCATCACAGCCTTTGCTTCTCCCAGATCCAAGAAGATGAACGGAAACGCTCTGCATTCATCAGCACAACGACTAACCGGTTTTCTCTATGTGCCCACGCAGTAGCTGGATCGCGGCGTCGCGTTGCGTTATCGCCACATCCACCCTTCTCGCAGCATCCTTCCACCAGGCCGCCTCACGTTGCCGCTCACTCGTTACCGTCTCCCACGAGATCGCCTCAATTCTCCGTTGCTCTTCCATTCCGCCGGGCTGCCTCTGGTCCTCCTTGGCCGCCCTAAGGGCTCCCACGGTCACTCTCCTCCAGGTGCTCGGACCTGTCGGCCGAGTTCCCATGGTTTTGCTTCAGCTGCTCAAGTTCTGAAACAACACCCCCATTGCCGTCTTTACCATGGTACTTTTCCAACAGGTCGTTGTACCTGCCGGTCGAGTCCGTATGGTTTTGCTTCAGCTGCTCAAGCTCTGAAACAAGCCCTCCTCTGCCGTCTCCCCCGTCATGCATCTCTTTCAGCTCGTTGAGATTCTTCTCGAGAGCATCGTACTTGAACACCAGACATATCTCATCTTCTCCTTCATGCTCGGCTTTGAGGCTCTTGAGCCTTAAAGCCAACTCGTCATATCTCTGCTCCATGGTTTCCCTTGGTTGCAGTCCAAACTTCTCCCTCTCTCCCTTTAGCTCTGCTAACAGCTCATTCGACCTGTGGACTTGTGCCCGGACTTCGACAAGTAGCTTGTCGAACGCCTCGGCATCGCTTGCTCCGTGTCTGTTTAGAGGATGACGTATTCCTCGTGCCGCAAGGAACTCTCGCTTCCTTCGCAACAAGTCCAGCTTTGCACGCGCAGCATCCATTTTGTCCTGCATCTCGAAATCGAACGTTTTCGTCTCCATCGCACGAAACACCCGCAGTTGGACGTCTTTCATCATGGCGCGGGGTGGTGTGGTGTGCTGCTTCCGCCCATCATCACCGAATGGGGTCGTCACTTCGGGTTTGAATTCGGCCTTCATGATCGAGCTGAAGCCTTGCTGGCGTGCTCCAGGCGGCGGCATCGGCGTCGCAACTTCTCCACCGTCTGCTCTCTCCATATCCTCATCCGCACCTGCATCTGCCACCAAATCCCTACATATTGTTAGCAAGAAACAGGAAGGAGCGAAGGTACTCACGCATCCCCATCATCGTCCATTTGCCCCGTCTGCCTTGTTGCTCCACGCAACCTATCCGTAAAGGCGTTCGGATTCGCCATGGTGTAGTTGAGATGGTGAGGTGTGCTGGGGTGAAGTCTAGTCGCACCTGCCGTATGGAAGGCGCTACGCCCGATTCGCTCCACGACGTGACGTGACCACCAACATCACACCATGGGTCAACGATGATGACGTCGCAGTACGTAAGTAGACTGTCGTATGGCCACAAACAAACAAACACAACGCTCTCCTTAAATTTTGTTCTGTCCATTTCATTGCTTCAAAGAAACCTTTTTCTTTGAATCGCTCTTCAATTTCTGTTTGAGAAAGATCAACGAGATCAACAGAACGGGAACACTGACAGCGGCAAAGACCCAAAGGGACAGATTGCCCTGCCCAAAGGTTGAGAAGTTCATACCAAAGAAGGTGCAAACGAATGAGATTGGCACATATACCAGTGTCACTCCCGTCGTCAACCGCGTTAGTTGTTCCAGATCCTCTGACTGCGAGTTCGACCTTTTCGCCTCCAAAAGAGAGGCATTGTGCGCAACGATTTCCATGGCCCTTTCGCAGCGCTGAATGAGCTGCACGACTTGAGTATGAAGGTACTGGAAATCTTGCAAGAGGCTCATGCGCGCTGCGATGAAAGGGTTATTTGCTCCCATTTTTGCGAAAGGAAGAAACCAGAGGGAGTCATCGGCTGCTTTCAGAAACGCGATGATGTCGCTGATGCGATCAGAATGTGCCTCGAGAATTGAACGATCATATTGCAGGTCGGTACGTTCGGGGAGAGCGTTTGGCTCTGAAAATTTGGTTTGCAAACCTTCTTCCACTATACCCTTCATGCGCTCGTCGAGGATCTCCTTCATCATGTTCAGAAACTGATTTTCTGCTGTCGCAGCAAATGCGTAGATCTCGCTGACAGCATAGAAAGGATCCTCTTTCATTAGTAGGGGTTCGAGGGTGTAGCCGTACACCTTGTGGAGACTGTTGAAAGTTTGCGTCGCGTTGAATCCGGAAGAGCCGATCGAGGAATATGCCAGCCCACCGCGCAGCGCTGACGAGAGATTCGTTGTTCTGAAACGATTGAACACGGTAGGACTCAGCTTGAAGTAGACCTGAGGTTTTCGGGAGGCTTGCTTGAACAAGAAGGAAAGGTCTGGGTCTTTGTCTTCGCCGCCAGCATCAGTCCAGATGAGTACTTGACGTTATTAGCAATGGACATACGCAGGAGTCGGGGAGCAGTACTCGTCCATGCACCAGTTTCCTGCAGCAAGCATATAGACACCTCTTGAACCAGGGTGAATTGTTTCCGGTTATGCAGATACGCGCTCCGAACGATGGGCCGTCCGACAGGGGGGTTTTGAACATTCTCAAGAAACTGTGTTTTGAGATTTTCTGCGAGCAGCGATCTGGCTCTGGAAATATCGTCGAACAGATCTTTTGCATTGGAAAGACTACCGATAGTCGGTATACTCAGCTTGAGGGTATGACGGGAGCCGGAAGGCAGAGAAGGTTCGGCATACACTCGGTCGTGTACAGAAGGTCTAATCGAACGTAGATGTTGCTGGAAAAAGTGTATATCGACGTTGTACACGTATCCGATGGTGTTCAGCCAATCAGAGGAGGGATGGCCACTAAGAAAGAGTAATTCAGGGTCTTTTGGTTCTGTTCCAGCTCTTCTAACTCGATCGAAGTCCCTTGATTTGGAGTTTGAAGAAAGCTGAAGAAAACCCACTGGCGGACATGTGTACGACCAGGCGAAGGGCACGTCCAACGTGTAAGGTCCGATAGGCCATTGCGGTAAAGGATTCGATAAGTACACAAGGAGATCACTCAAATGCGATGCGTTGAACAAGGGATCTCGACTGGCGTTGGTGATGGCTGCTTCACAAAGCGATACGTAAAGATGCTCTGAGAACACGTGAGCAGGGATGTAGGTGGATGTTGAGCATAGGGTGCTTACTGTCTGGCATAATCCCTATAGGACCTGACACAATAGGCGGAACGGGTCACGGATGTAATGCTCGTTGAAACGAAAAACACAAAGGACGTCTTTTGACGCATTCAAGAGGCGTGGCTTCCAGCGAAATTCTCGGCTAAGTACTTACATAGGGCAGTGCATGCTATTGGCATCCCGATAGCGCAAGTTGTGGCTGTAGGCAAATCCGCGACAGCCTTGGGCGGGGCGCCCCAAATGTACGACTACAAGGCTCTTAACAGGCCATGGTGCGTTGCGCAATGTCCAGCGCGCCATCACCACTCCCTTTATCCTAGCTCATCCATCCTAGTATAACCAATAGACATCATACTAGCAGAGCGCTCAGTGAGTTTGCGAGGATACTGCCTTTTGAAAACTTCCATAGCACGCTTCTGTAAGGTAAGTGTAGAATGGCAAAATGCATTGACTCCCTGATTTGTCGCACTTGATCACGAACCTAGTTGACGAATTTCGCCTCGGCATATGAAGTACCTTCGAGGTACGTTTGATGTAGCGCATCAGGCTGTCTCGCTAGGGCATGAAATACGTCTGGGAAGGTGGGCGACGCTCAGGAGCGCCTCACTGTACGCCCTGTCGCCTCTTGTGCGGCCACTGCAAATGCGTTGTCAAAAACATGAAGCTCCCAATAGCCAGCGCAACCGTTCAGACACCAGTGCCAATCAAACGTATTGAATCCTAGATTTCATTTCGAGGACATGCAGGTGGCTTCACCGGAAATCGTGCGCAACGTCGGCGGAAACTTGCGTGGAGGATGCGGAATCGACGCGTCGTAGCAGCGCGTATCGTCGTTTTTTCGTACCATGGCACTATATCGCGCGTCAGGAACAATTGCGCTCTGCGCTGATAGTACGCGGAGACGTACCCTTCACACCCTCCGCTGTGTGGGCCTTACTGCTCGATACTTCCGGGCGATGACCACGGCATCATAGTCGTAATTTCATGGGAACGCGACGGGATTGTAAATCCCAAAGTTTTGAACACTATGCGTTATGTGTTGTTGGAAACACATCTAAGGTGCTATTAAAAAAGACGCGTCCATATCACACCTCTCCAGCGATGCCCCGTGTTGATGCGCGGCGGAGCCCGAGCGTGGTGGGTCTAGTCCCAACTGCGCCTAGCCGAGCCCTGACATTTGGAGGTCAAGATGCCAGCCACCCGGCCTTCCGCACATGACGCCATGTTCATCTTCATCGCCGCCGCTCGCATCTCAAACAGCGAACTTCGACCTCGCTCTCAGCCTCGCACCATAAATCCAGATCAGATACATTCCGATCTACTTTGAGTTAGCGCGCATTCACGGACTCGCTTGATCTCATCAAAACTCACAATACCCATGACACTCAAGCCACCCAAAAGGCTAATGCCCTTCCCTATTCCCAGTTTGAGATACATAGGACGGGAGAAGAGTACGGATCCGAAAGCGAAAGCAGACCGACAGAAGTCATTGCCCGCGAAAAGGGACGCGGCGTATTGCGGGTAAGACATGGGCACGTATGCTGAAGACACGTTAGCGATGTGGACAGTAACCACAGTAGAGGTATAGGCGATAACTTACAAAAGACAGCCTGGAAGATGATGTACACGCTAGTCGAATATATAGCGATACCGATAGTCGAAACAATCCAATGTACAGATTGACGAGCCGTCCAGCCTACACATCTCGCCATTAGTACCCAATGTCTCAAGTCCAGTCGTGCAATCAGACTCACCAAAGATGAACAATCCAATGGGCACCCCAAAGCTCGCGAAAATCGCCGGCACGAGTCTATGCTCTTGAGGTCTGAGCCCTCTCTTGAGGATATCCGGTATAAGGTAGAACCTCAAATAGGAGAAGTAGATCGTCATAGCAAGAACGCACCCTACGATGATGGACAGAAACACGATCGCCATCTCGCCGACGCTGAACCCGTATATCTCCAAATACACGAGAGGAAAGACCTCGAAGAAAGAGTAGTAGATGCCGTACGTCAGCGCAGAGTAGACGTTGATGAAGAACAGAGCCGGGTCTTTGACGCAGATCTCCAAAGGCTTGATCAGAGTATCGAGGAGTTCAGCGGAGAATTTGGTGCCTTTACGATCGATCTCGGTTTGGGTGTGGATATTGGGATTGCCAGTCAGTGCACGCAGACGGGCAGATCGCTGGAGAAGGATGGTGGTAGGCTGCGTTTCTGGGAGAAAGAAGAAAAAGAGGAGGAATACTGGGGCGGCCATCCAGAGGAGTTCCCATTGAGACCTAAATACATACGACTAATCAGCATCGACAAGAGAAGAAGGCTAGGTTGATAGAGAAAGAAGACTTACCATCGCCAGTTCTCCGCATAGACAGAGAAGCCAGATAGAAGAGGCCCTAGAGCTGGTCCAGCGAACGCGGCGGCTGTCCAGAAAGCTAGGCCGTACGGTATATGGAGCAGAGAGTACAGATCCTGCATCGTAGCTCCGCCGTTCGCTAGGCAGGGGCTTCCGAAGAAGCCGAGTAGGAAGCGAAGGAACAGAAAGCCGCCGAGATTGTCTACTAGTGCGGTAGGTAAAGTGAGGATGGTGAAGAGCGCGAAAGTCGTGATGTACGGTATGTTTCTGCCGAGTTGGGGTACTGTGATGAGCTGTTAGCAAGGCCTACGTCCGCGACAACTTCCTCACACGGGACGAGCATCCGATGAAGAGGGACAGGAGAGGACATCACATACCCTCGCTCAAAGGCGCAAACAACAACGGACCGATCCCATATCCTACACACCGTCAGCTATCCATCCCATCCCATCATCTCTCTCATCGCAGGCCAGCAACATACCTAGCACATAAAGCGCCAACCCCAAACTCGCCTTAAACGCCCCCACCCCGAACTCACTCATGACCAACAGCGTACTACTAACATAGATCGAGCTACCCGCGTACACAATGAACGTATACAGACAGATCAAGAATGCCGTCCATGCCTTCTTGCCCTGCGACCAGTTCTGCGGGTTCGCGGGGTCGGTCGTGGTGTACCATTCTGCTAGTATGAGGCCGTCGGCTGTCTTGACGGGAGCGATGGCGTGAGTGGGTGAGTGGGTGGTATGGAGGGCTAGGTCGGCTTCCAGGCGTGAGGGGCTGAAAGGGAGGGCATGCGACGGGAGGGGTGCTGTGGAGGTTGAGTTGCGGTCGGATGCGTTCACTCCTTCTGCGGTTCTGGAGTGAGGTTTTTCGAGGTTGACTTGAGGGGACTCTGTAGTAGCTGGGGTTGGGATGGGCTGTCTAATGGCAGTTGCGGAGTTGTCGGAGTGAGCCTGGCTCTGTGAAGCTGACGCACTGGTATCCTTTTCGATATACGCAGATGGGATTTCGAAACCAGGTAACTCTTCTGGATACTTGAAGAAGCGATTTCGTGTGGCGTAACGGACGAGTTGACCGAAAGGCGCGTCGCGGACGATCTCCTTGATTGTTTCCATGGCCTCTAGGTACGCGTACGGGATGTTGCAAAATTTGATACTATCAAGAAGGCTACCCAAGCTTTTCCGGTATAACACCCTTCTTATACCTAAACACCTCACCGTCCATTCTAATCACCAAAACCTCCCCATAAGCGGCTCTGCTCCCCTCCCGCCATCTGGCCAACGCGCCAGAAAGCCGTCTCCTCCAATCTCCTCAGCCTCCTCCCCAACGACAAATCACCACTACAGTCAGCAAAAGCCATTATTCACCACCGAGCGAATACTCATACACCAGATCGCGTTGCATGACGAGCGGCTGATAAGACGCCGGACAAGGCAAGTAAGACCCGAAAGCGGCGAATAGACAGCCACGTGATTGGTACTGCAGCGAAAGCCACAAAGCCCAACGGCGTAATTTGCACTTTTTGCTGACCGATCAGGGTTTGTTGATGGAATGCAGTGGCAGGACTGGCTTGATAGCACGCGTTCAGCCCTTTGCTTCTGTTTACTGATCGGTGGTCGTCGACGTGGTGGTGCGTTTTGTCAGATCCGCCAAGATCCGATACTTCATCTCACATGGCTGACATGTACATGCTGACGAGCACCGCTTACCCAAGTCACAACATACAATGGAGGATCCGGACACCCTAGAGCCTACGTTGACCTTGGACTGCTTACTTTGTATGTTTTTATCTTAATGTAGGCTCTAGGGTGTTCAGTGGTACATGTCAATCATGAAAAAACTGGACAGGCCTGCAGCCTACATCAACACAAAAACCTACGAAATAGGTAACCTGGCGTTGATGTAGGCTCTAGACCTATTCGGGGTTTCTCTTGTACAAGGTGGGTACGTCAATGTGTCGATTATAATTATATGCACACTAAGAGCAGGTAACCACCCATAGGCCCTGTCTGGTATACGCCGCGACAAAAACAGAAGGAAATAATGCCTCGCTCATGCAAGACCGTCTTGATCACATGCTTTTTGTTCTCCAACTCCGTCTAAATTTGACTCTCCCCTCTCATCCCAAGACCCTTCAACCGTACGGCGGAGCTGCGATCTTCTATTGGGCAGCTGATGTAGGTTTTGACTCATACGCAGTCTTTGCAGTAGTAGTCAAGGTTTCTAGCTCGCCGCTGGTTTCGCACATGGATCGGAATGAACCGCCATCCTTTCGGACAAGATCGTAGGGATGGCCGTACTCGATGACCTCACCCTTGTCCAGAACAAGGACCTTGTCGTAGTCAATGATTGTTTGGAGACGATGCGCTATCGTGATGGTAGTGTTCTTGATCTGACGAATGGTTTCTTGGATCTTCGCATCGGTGGCGTAGTCGATGGACGCTGTGGCTTCGTCCATCAGCAGAACCTTGGGTGCTTTCAGTAGCGCTCGCGCTAAGCACAAAAGTTGTCGTTGACCTTGCGACAGGTTGGACCCGGATTCCGACACCAGCGAGTTGAGGTTCTTGAATGGGTTCTTGTTGTCGGCCTCCATAGCAGCCTGCGCCGCTACTTCGTCGCGGTCCGCAGTACGACCATCAGGCATGACCACGACTGTGTCTTCCTGTGTCTCGCCACGATCCCAGTCGCGGTTCGCCAGAATGGAGCCGGGATTTGTGGTAGCGGCTGAGTAGCTGCCGTTGACGTCCGCTGTGACAGCGTTTGTTGTCGGAACGGGAATCTGGACAGCGCGAGGTGGGGTGGTCGCTCCAGTAGGAGTGACAGAGCCGGACGCGGGGCGTGATAGAGTAGAGATCAGGTTGACTTCGCGAAGGGCGGTGTAGATCTCTTCATCGGTGAAGATAGAGAAGGGGTCGAGATTGCTTCGGATAGTGCCTGTGAAAAGTGTCGGATCTGTGTAGTGTCAGCATCTGTTCCACCCTAATAAGATATAAAGATGTGCCTACCTTGCGGTACCATGACGACGTTCTCCCGCAGATCGTGCAGGCCGATCGTGCCAACATCAATGTCATCGATCAAGATTTTGCCCTTCTCAGCCTCCAGCGCCCGGAACAAGGCAAGTGCCATTGAACTCTTGCCGGCACCCGTTCGGCCTACGACACCAACCTTCTCACCTGGAAGGATCTTGAAGGTCAAGTCCTTCAGGACAAGGTCAAAGTCAGTCCTGTATCGCGTGCTGTAGTTGATGAACTCTACGGATCCCTTGCTCGGCCAGTTGGATGGTGGACGGTTCTCTGAAATGACAGATGGAGCTTCCTGGTCAACATCGAGGTACACCTTGACACGCTCGACCGAGTTCATGTTCTGTTCATTAGCAGAGTAGAGACGAACGAACCACAAGACGTTCTCGGTGAAGGTAACAGCATAGGTAAGCGCGAGACCCGCGGCACCTGCATCAATGTGACCAACGCTGAGCACCACGAAAGCTCCAGAGAAGAAGGCGACCATGGCACCGACGACGTCCACTCGGAACGCAAGCCACCTGTTCGCTGCCCAGAGATAGATAAACGGACGATGTTGAGTGTTAATCTTCGCCAAGTTCTCGCGGATGAAGCGGCGTTCGTCACCGTAGGCTCTGATAGTCGTCATTCCGGATAGTGTCTCACCAAACTGTTGATACAGCGGACTTCGATGTACGGATTCCAATCGCTTCAGGTCGCGGGACGAGTTGATGTAGAAGCGACCGATGAGGAAGTAGAGGATGGAGATGAAAAAGGCCGCTATTAGGAACCCGGGAGTAATTATCGAGATAAGAATGACGATCGTGATTATGGAAGCAAAGCAATGGACAACACCAATGGCGACTGGCGCTACCTCTTGGTCGACAGATTCAATGTCCTTGGAGAACCTGTTCATGAGCTGACCGAGTGGAGTCTGATCGAAAAAGCGGAACTTGGCGTGCGTGACCTTTTGAATGAGACGTTCGTGTATGCGTTTGGATGCAGCGAGAGAACCCCCAAAGAGGAAGCCCTCTCGTAAGAAGGTGATGAACATAAAGATGAGTCCAAGAACAGCGTAGACGCTCAAGAAGTACGCAGAGTTGACGTCCGGGTTCGGGTCACTGAAGGTAGTCTGCATGGTGTTGTAGACATATGACTGCTGCTCCGGTTGTGTAAAGAAGGGAATGTTCCAGCTGCAGGTACCACTGTTCATGCATGTTCCCATGCCACTTATTGTCGGAGCATGCGTTACCGGAGATTGGTGATGGCTGCTCGCCGCAGCATAGCCCTTTTCTGCGTACGCGTTCGCCCATGTACGGATCCAGAGGTTGGTAGATACCGAAGAGATTTGCGCAGCTACAAAAGCAATGGTAGCACCAAGCCAGTAGTACCAGGGGCCCATAGCTCGAAGATACATGGTGATAATGCTCAGCTTAACGCCTCCCTCTGCCTTCTTCTCGTCCTGACTGTTGCTGGCTGGCTTCTTCTTCTTAGCGTCCGGCTTGCCATTTGCGGTGCCATTAGCAGAACCGTTTGCGTGATTGGCATCGCCATTTGCCTCTTCACCAGCATCCGAGGGCTCTTGGGAAGGAGGTTTCGACGCTCCTCTTGATGCGGGCCGTGATTTAGTAAGATCCTCGGTAAGCTTTCCTGAGTTAATGACCTCGTCTGCTGTTCCTTGTGCGACCACTCGGCCGTTCTCAAGTGCAACGGCAAACTCTGCGTGTGGCAAACAGAGGCTGACGTTGTGTGTGACGAGGATGCAAGTTCGGTTGGCCATGAGTCGTCCATGAAGTGCGTAATGGAAGATCCATTTGGCAGTGTGGGCATCGACAGCGCTCAGAACATCGTCAAGAAGGACGTGACGAGCCTTGCTGTACAACGCACGAGCCAATGAGATACGCTGTTTCTGGCCTCCGGAGAGCGTTACACCCTTTTCTCCCACTATCGTCTCGTCGCCAGCATCAAGGATCTCAAGATCTCGCTTCAGAGAGCAGGCTTCGATAACCTCGTCGTAGCGCTTCTGGTCGAACGGACTTGCGAATACGATGTTGTCCCTCACCGTACCGTTGACAAGCCAAGCTTGCTGAGCGCAGTAAGCTATACTGTCAGTGAGTCCAGTATCGGGGTCGGGAGTCAGGTCCTCTCGGCTTAGTCCACCAGGCAAGTAGACACTACCCTTGAGCTTTGTCATCTCGCCAAGTAGGCCCATGAGTAATGAGGTCTTTCCAGAACCAGTGGGTCCAACAACAACGTTGAGCTTGCCGACAGAGAAAGTCAGATTGAGATCCATGAGCTTGAAGGCATCTGCCGAGGCCTGGTCTGCCATGTCTGTTCCGCCCCAACTGAATGTACCGTTCTCGAATCCAATAATGGCTTGGCCATCTTCGTCCTTCTTCTGGGTCACGAGTTGCGAGTACTTGTCCGTCTCAGGCTCGGACAGATACTCCTCGATACGATCAACTGAAACCTTGGATTCTTGGACGTGGGCAACCATATCTGCGAGCTGGTCCAGCGGGATCCTCAGAATTTGGAAAAGCGAGAGGGCGGTGAATGCGACAGATGGAATGAGCGCCTTATGTTCAACGTTCGTGTACACGAGGAAGGACAAGAACGTGATTAAGACTGGCGAGCCCGACCATATCGTAGCTGCTACCGCCCACAGAATGTATCTCCGTCGCAGATGCTTGAGCTCAATGTACCGCTTTTCGTTGACTAGACCAATGAAGCGTTGCTCCCAAGCAAAGAACTTGATAATCCGGATGTTGGTGAGGACTTCGTTGGTCGTGTGGATGCGGGCATCGGTGGCCGCGAGAATGAGTTTCTGGATCTTGGAGAATTGTCGCGCAACATACATGTTGATCGGGAGCAGGAAAACCATCATACCAATACCAGCAATCGAGCTGTAGCCCAAGATGCGGTAGAGCAAGAAGACAGCCACGACAACTTGGACAGGGGTGTTGGCCCAGAGGAAGTGTAGATAAGCGCAGATCTCGCTGACTTTGAAAGCGTCGACAGCCATAAGGTTGATGATCGCACCGGTGGTGACCTGAGCGTCGGATTCGGGTTTCGATGTTTCGTCTTCTTTCGAGGCTCCAGTCGCCTTCTTCTTCTTG